GGACACAACTCTTTTGTTGGTATGTGGTGCTGAGGATCGAACCCGGGCCGCACGCATGCCAGGCGAGCGCGCTACCGCTTGAGCCACATCCCCAGCCCCCTTGGTTTACTATTGGTAAAAGAAAAGAAGAGGATTAAAGGAAGCAAAAAAACAAGACATGTTTTTCCTGACATTATCTAGGAAGGAACCGAAAGGAAGAAAAGGATGAAAGGATACCATGACACGTGTAGAGAAATTTTCTAAGATCAAAATAATAAGGTATGTGAAGAAAGGGGATTAGCTAAGTCATATCTAGTTAGGAAAATGGGAACTAAGGAGTTGAATCTGTCAGTTTTACAGACCTGCCCCTTAACAGCACTACTGGCCCAAGACAGTCCACTTGCTAGGTTATCTGCAATTTTGGGATGGCCTGGAAAATATAACAATAGCAAATAGGGCTGGGGATGTGGCTCAAGCGGTAGCGCGCTCGCCTTGCATGCGTGCGGCCCGGGTTCGATCCTCAGCACCACATACAAACAGGGATGTTGTGTCCGCCGAAAACTAAAAAAAAAATAAATATTCTCTCTTTAAAAAAATTTAAAAAACAATAGCAAATAACCAGCTAATTAAGCATGCAGGATGTGTTCACAGGAAGGCATTCATACTCAAAATGGTGCTTATAAGAACAGAAATCACTAGGGCTGGGGCTGTAGCTCAGTTGTAGAGGACTTGCCTAGTATGCATGAGACAGTGGGTTCCATCCTCAGCAACGCATAAAAATAAACAAATAAAATAAAGGTATTTTGTCCATCTACAACTACAAAAAAAAATTTAACAACAACAACAAAAGAACAAAAATCACTAATTACCCTTATTTTTAGGCCTTTGACTTGTCTTATCAAATTTACCAATGAATAAGGACTGAAGATATAGCTCAGTGGTAGAGCATTTCCCCAGCAAGCATGAGGTCCTGCATTCAATACTTATCACTACAAGAAAAGAAATAAAAACTTCCAATAAACACTTGTGCTTAAGGAAACTACAAAGTCTAAAAAGGTCAATCTCTGAATTAATCCAATACTTCACAAAGTAGTTGTACTCATAGGAGATTTTCTACCTGCAAATCAGCATGCTTTTTCAGAGAGTAAGTTTTCTTATTAACAGTATATAGTTTATTAAAGCAGATTCTTGTACCTACAGGTATCATTTTTAGAAATAGCAACTAAAACTACGTGACATAAAAGCACTATGAACACCCTGCATAAAAAATTTCAGAGGCAACCTACTCTCAGTCTCAACACAACTCGTTGTAAGCAATCTGGTTCCAAGTAAACACTGTTAAACCTGAATATAACTTAATTGACTAGTCAAGGCATTAGCTAAGTCTGGTTCAATTTATGTATTTATGAATAAAAGATCTTTGTCACTTTTCATTGACAGCTTCAACATTCTGGGACCCATAAATTGTAACCTCTCAGTGATAAGTTTCGAATTCATTCCCTAAATTTAATACTTTCTGAATCTTAAAAGCCATCTACAATGCCACTTAGCTTTAAATTATTTTTTCTTATAATGCAGGTTACATATTATTAAAGACTTAAACAGTACAAATGCTATAGAATGTAGTATAAAAATCATTTCTACTTCTGCACAGGCTCCAATAATCCCTTTCTCATATACATCATGCCTGTCCTTTAACTATGAACTTTTCTTTCTTTTTCTTTTTTTTTAAAGAGAGAGTGAGAGAGGAGAGAGAGAGAGAGAGGCTATGAACTTTTCTACATTTACAAACCTTGATGTACACAGTATAGAGGCTTTTTTTTTAAAAAAATACATGGATGTGATGATAGCATACATATTGTTCTGTAATTTTTTAACTTAAGATATTGGTGATCTTGCTATGTATGTACAACATGTACTTAATTCTACTTAATACTGCATTCTAGAACATAGCACATTTATCATTTTTTATATAACTACTTCCCTACTAAGATTTGTCTGAGTCTTTACTATTAAAATGATGCAAATAAACTAATACACATAAATCTGATGCTTATCATAAAACTATTCAACATTATAATTACACAGTCACATTCTACAAGTGAGAT